CGCACGCGAACTGTTTCATTTTAGACATAGTCTGTATAATTCACTCGAAGGATCGTCCTCAGGCAGCAGTAGTCAAATACCTCCAGTCTTCGCTCATCTTCCACACACTCGTCTTTCACACGCAAAACCCAACTTACCGGGCCGATGCGCGATACACACGGATCTTCATGGTGATGGAGATGTCGCGTCGGATACATAGGCACTTTCGGAGGATTTAAAAAAAACCGACGAGTAACATCGATTCGGGAGAAAATGTCATTCTTACTATGTCCATGAGGTAGCAGCCTCGACACGAGGTATTTAAAGCTGCCTACTTATTCAAGTTGACGGCCATTAATCCCCAAATGCGCATTTTCCTGGTCGGGGATGCAGCTCGAGAATAAGTTATTCTTCCGCATATTTATGGACAAGCCAACCGACAGCGATCACATTCCCCCTTGACACTATCAGCAAAAGCTTGAAGCTAGTAAAGTGATATCATCGGCGTAGTCTAAATCAGTCAACCGGCATCCGAGTGGAAGCCTAATACCATCCTCTTCACGTAGGGCCTTCCCAAAAATCAAGTCAATGGCATAGTTGAGTAAAATGGACGATAGAACGCAGTCTTGTCGAACGCCAGACCGAATAGCGAACGGTTCTAAAACATGGTTATGGAATAGAACCCGCGCAGTGGTGGAAAGGTAGTATACCTTGGTCATGACGATGATTCTTGTTGGCACACAATCTAGTCATGGAAATTCACTATGGACCAAATCGAACGCAGCGGCAAAGTCAACGAGCAAGATGGTCATTCTTTGTTGGTAGCTATGGCGGAATTCAAGGATGCGTCTCAGTGTGCATATCTGGTCCGCACATCCATGCCCAGCGCGCAATCCAGCTTAGTTGGGTCGCATGCTTGAGTCACGCACAGGCTAGAATTGTCTGAAAAGAACAGTAGTAAAGGTCTTCGCAGCAGCGTCGATAATACTTATGCCTCAGTAGTTATTGTATCTTGTTTTATCTTCCTTCTTGTAGACAGGTACAAGAATGCATGAGCCCCAGTGAATAGGAACGGCCTCGTTTCTCCACACTTGTCCAATCATCTTATGGGGCCAAGGAGCCAGATTGTCGATACCAGACTTGTAGATTTCACTGGGAATACCGTCCTCTCCGGGTGTCTTGTTGTTATGCAGCATCTGTTTTGCATCTACAGCTTCTTCTTTAGAATGGAGGTCATACGACACTGCATAGGCTGGGGAGGGTTGAGCCTGCGCTGCTGAGGAGAGGGAGGATGTGATGGGTTTCTCATCAACGTTGAGAGTGTGCTCGAAGTGCTCACGCCGGCTATCAACCTTGGTCGAATTGTCAGCAGTAAAGCCACCATGCACATCGCGAACGCAATCACAGATTATCGAGAGCTCACCACTGACTTGGCAGCTAATTTAGTCGAGTTGTCGAGTATCACCAACTTTTGAGGCCTGCTTCGTTGAAATCGCTGTTTCGGACCAAAACTTCTGTCCGTCACCTCTAACTGACTTTGCTGTCAGCTTTCGAAGTCGGCGGAAGGAAGCCTGGTTGCGGGACGTGGCTCGAGCCGTTTGGGCAAATAGCTGCAGGGTTCTTCCGCTGATCCAGTCACATTCTGAGGGCGGATGATAGGCGTCCTTCATAGAGAAGTCTTTGTAGGTACTCACAGACGAGATGAACGAAACGATATCACCTGGACATCTGCAGATGCCACTTCAGTGCGGGTGTACAATAAAACATTGTCCACACTGACTTATCTTTTACGCGCATTACAATTTACCGACGCTGGTGATGACGGGGCACGCTCATGGTATGCAGAGCATTACGCCGGTTTGGTCTGCCATCGACTTGACGTGAGAGAGGGATTAAAGTCATTACTTGAAGGGATTGCTTGGTGTGGCTTGCCAACTTACCGAACTGGCAGCTAGATTGCCGCAAATTCTTCCAGACGTACTGGTCTTTT